GTTGTTGTTGTTTTTGTTCATCCTCACCCGAGGTAATTTCGATTGATTTTTGATAGAAAGAGTGGAAGGGAGGAGGAGAGACAGAGAGAAAGAAATGTCCATGTGAGAGAGACACATCCATTGGTTGCCTCCTACACGTGCCCCGATGGGGTCTGGGATTGAGCCTGCAACTGAGAAATGTGCCCTTGACCGGAATCGAACCTGAGACCTTTCAGTCCATTGGCCGATGCTCTATCCATTTATCCATTGAGCCAAATTGGCTAGGGCTGTTTATTTTTTTAACATGTTTATTTTATTGATTTTTTTTTTTTAGAGAGAGAGAGAGGAAGCGAGAGGGGTAGAGAGATAGAAACATCACTGATTGGCTGCCTGCTGGGAATTAAGCCTGAAACCCCGGGCATGTGCCCTGACCGGGAATCAAACCAACGATCTCTTGGTTCATGGGTCGATGCTCAACCACTGAGCTACACTGACCGGGCCATTCAGCATCTGTTTAGAGGCGCCCACATTTCAGTAGCTGGGAGGGGCAAGCACTCCTCTCTCCTCTTTCTTCTCAAGACCAAAGCTAGACGTTGACATGGATGGAACAGTTTGAACCTTGACCCTTGGCCTCCTGCTTGCAAAGCTGCAGGCCGGTTCTGCGGCTCTGTCGCGGAAGGGGGAGGAGCAGAGAAAAACTGGTCAAATTACTCGGGAGAACTGCAAGCTTCCCTTTACAGGGAACCAACAGCAAGGGGTGCTGTGGCTGCCTCCTGGACTTCGTGACGGTTTCAGAATCGTGATGGAAACATGCATTAAAACCTGGTTCCCCACCATGCTTCTGTGCCGATGGGCTGCGTTCTGAATGTCGCTAGCGGGGAAACAGCGAGGCTGAGCCGGAGAGCGGCTTCACATTTGAGAGACACGTGTGCTTTGAGGATTCGGTGCAGAGGCCGCCTCCGGGACTCCTGTATCAGTCTCCCCAAAACATGCGCCAGGCATTTCCTTTGTCCTCCAGGGACTTTCTGTCCGGTCATGAAATGACAACTTAGCAGAAGGGGGACGGGGGGGGGGCGGGGGCGGAAGGCAAGCTTACAGGGCATATCTGTTTGGAGGTCAGAAAAAGGCTGTTGAAAAGAGACCTTGAAGGCCAGTGGCGGGCAGGAGGGCGGTCAGCTCCGGGCAGCAGGGGCATCCAGACGGGAAAAGATGGATGTAGATGTGGAGCCGGGCAGACCTGGGCATGTTCAGGGGACCACAGAGCCAGCTATCTTCAGGGACCAACAGGCCAGTGGGGGACGGGGCCAGGTGGGGAAGACGGGGGCAAACCGGGCAGCTTCTTACCTGGCCACGTGTTATTAGGCCAGGGGCAGGCCCACTACTTCCTGATCCCTCCTTCCTTTTCGAGAGAAGCCACAAGTCTGAACGTCCGTGTGAACCACAGACTGAATGGCTTATAAACAGCAGGCATTTACTGTTGACAGTTCTGGAGGCTGGCAAGTCCAAGACCATGGCACTGGCAGGCTCAGTGTCTGGTGAGAACCCGCTTCCTGGTTGCAGACAGACACCTTGTCACTGTCCTCACATAGCAGAAGGTGGCGGGGGGGGGGGGGGGGGCGGGATTTTGGGGCCTCTTATATAAGGGCCTTAATCTCATTCATAAGGGCTCCACCCTCATGGCCTGATCACCTCCCAAGGCCCCCACCTCCTAATCCCATCACTCAGGGAGGGGTGCAGTTCAATATATTAATCCGGGGGCGTGCACACATTCAGTCCATAGCAGCAGGCAGCGTGGCAGGGCCAGGACTTGGGAGAGACTAGCAGAAGCCCAGGGCACTTAATGCAAGGAGACCCTCAGTCCCGGGGGCCCACCCTGAGGGGTAGACCCCTCACAGTTTGTATGCTAAGTGCCTCCTCTCTGGGCTCCCATTTGCAAGTTAGTAGGGTTCAAAGAGAAAAGCAGTGAGAGATATATTGGCAAGATAGGGCTAGGTCTTTGAACTTCACTGGGTGGGCACTGGGGAGCCACTGAAGATTTATGATGACCATCATGTGGAGGGCAGTGAAAAGGTGGGCTGGTGAGGGCTTTCCTAACAGGCCAGGCTGGAGCTGGGGAGGCGGCCTCAGGAACCATTGGTTATCTTGTACGGAGGTTCTAGAATCAGATTGTCCCAGTTCAAATCCTGACTTTTCCAGTTACTAGGTATGATCCTGGGCAAGCAATTACGCTCTCCATGTCTCAGTTTCTTTATCTGTAAAATGGGCATCATAGTAGGGCCTGCCTACCTCACAAAGTGGTGAATTTCAATGAGGTCCTCTATGTGAAAAGTTGAGAACAGTGCCTGGCACACAGTAGGCCCTCGGAACACATTAGCAGTGAGAACTGATGTAGAGGCCAAAGGACCAGCAGATCCCCAGCACCCACGAGGTAAGCAAGCACGGGAACAGTGCAGGTTAGAAGCCCCTGTGGGAGCTTTTAAACCTCCCCAAACCAAAGCCCTGCCCCAGACCAATTAAACCAGTCTCTAGGGTGGGGTCTGGGTATTGTTTTCTGGAAGTTTCCCAGGAGTTCAATGTGCAGCTGAGCTAGGGAATCACTGCTAATCTAGAACCTTGTGTGCCTGGGGCCTGGGGCAGAGAACTGACCTTGAAAAGACACAGACAGGCAACCATTTTGCAGCAGGAGGTGAAGCCAGATGGAGTGGGGGAGGAAGGGTGTGTGACCGCAGGGCCCAGCTGGGGGCGTCTAGGGTTCCTGGGGGCCTTGAGGGCCTGGCTGTCACCGGCACCCCACCCCCAGGCTGGGATGAAGGCCGCCACCTGTACCCTGGGAGGACTACCGAGGAGGAGGCCTGAGCAGCAGCTCTGAGCTGGGCTTGGGCGCCAGGGGGAGCTCGTGGGGACAGCCAGGGCTCCATCCCCGCAGCTGGTTCAAACTGGTTTGGGCAGGGTGCGGCCCAGGCCGGCTGCATTCCGGGCCTCAGGCTTGCAGCCTGCCTCACGGTCTCCCCAAGATCTGGGGGCCCCGGGCAGGGCGCTGGGGCTTGGGCCCAGTACACTGAGAGGCCGGGAGATTTTTATAAATTCAGTTCTCTTTGTTTAAAATCATTGTTTTGGCCTCCCATGGGGGTCCCTAGCCAATGCCCGCAGGAAGAGGGAGCTCCCTAAGTAAGGGTCACTCTCAGACTTCCGTGTGCATGGGCCGCAACTGCAGAGCATGTAGAACGCAGGTGCCCCGCTCCCCAAAGATGCTGAGGCAGAAAGTTGGGACATGGCTCCGGGCATCAGTATTCTTAGCAAACTGTGTCTAAGGCACACTGGCACTCACACATTTAGGGGGGAAAGACTAGAAACAACAGGACTGTTGGCTAGCCAACTGCGCCCAGGAATCACGGGGGTGCTTGGGAAGAGAGCAGATCACTTCCCCAGACACCCCTCTCCAGGGACAGGGTCTCTGGGCACTCCCTACTTTCAGCTAACATCCCAGCTTTTTGTTTTGTTTTGTTTTTAATTAGTAATTTGGGGCATTTAAACATTATAACCAATAGCAGCAGGAGAAAGAAAATGTTATAACTATAATTGAACCCCCCTCTCATACCCTTCCCCAATTTACCCCCACCGCAAAGCACCCACTTTCCTAACTGTGGCACAGCTTTATGCTCTCACTCCATATGTCTGTATCCATAAACAATATATAGCGTGCTTTCACATGTTTTTAAAACTTTATGTTAATGGCAGGGTGCCCTACCGAGCCTTCTGTATCTCTCTCTCTCTCTCTCTCTCTCTCTCTCTCTCTCTCTCTCTCTCTCTCTGTGTGTTATGCTTTTGAGATTCATCCATCAGGGGAAGTTTGCTGAGCTCAGTCCTATTGGGCTAATCTGAGGCCATTTCTGGGTTTTTCCATGGGAGAGCCCCAGCCAGCCTGAAGGGGTGAGGGTCTGCCCTCCATCCCTCGGGTCGGGGTGGGGGTGGGGGGGTGGGAGGGTGGGGGGGCGCGGTTAATGTGTGGAAGGGCTCTGAGCAGGAAGGTCAGGACAGTAATGAATGGCTAAGCACAGGTTCAGTGAGTTCCTAGCAAATCCTTTTTCTAAGCACCTGAGGCCCAAATCTTTGCCAAGAATTTTCCAGAAAATGACTCTGGCCTGAAGGCCTGAATGTTTGGGTGGGAAGTGGAGAAATCAGCAGTGGGCAGCGGGAACTGTGCAGTGACAAATCACCCAGAAGGCAGACCAAGCATGTGCTGCCACCCCCTCCCTACCCAGGGTCATCCGATAAAATATAAATTCAGATTGAATGGGAGGGGGGAGGGGTGGCCTGTCTATTTATTCGAAACTCTAAGCCCAGCCAAAATTTTTTAAAACGAATTTAATCTTTTAAAGGAAAAGTCATCATAGGAAAAATTAGAACTCCAGGCTTCCCCATATCTCTTCACCTCGCTTAGTACTTTCTTCATTAGCATTGCTTTGGGGGCTGCACCCCACCCTCCCCAGCCTCTAAAGCAGCGGTTCTCAACCTGTGGGCCGCGACCCCTTTGGGGGTAGAACGACCCTTTCACAGGGGTCGCCTAAGACCATCGGAAAACACATATAATTACATATTGTTTTCGTGATTAATCACTATGCTTTAATTATGTTCAATTTGTAACAATGAAATTGGGGGTCACCACAAGATGAGGAGCTGTATGAAAGGGTCGCGGCAGTAGGAAGGTTGAGAACCCCTGCTAAAGGGTCTAGACAAGCGTCCTATGAGTGATGGGGGGTGGGAGGGGGGGTCATATGTGTGCGCTGAAGAATTATGCCGGGAGCTTATGTTAAAAGCTGCTCGGGGAGGAGGAGGACCGCCACACCCGCATTCCTAACTTCCAGGACTCCCCGCCTGGCGCCAAGCAGATGCTGGAGGAGGCCGGGCCTTGGGGGCTGGGCTGGGGTGGGGGCTTTGGTCTTTAAATGAAAGGATCTTTTAGGATAGCTGTTTCCTATCCGGAATGCACGCTGGGTCACCCCAGGAGGTTTAAAAACTACCGGTGCCCAAGCCCCACCCGCCACGGATTCGGGCTGAATCTGTCTAAGGTGAGGCCTGCAGCCTGGCTTCCCGGCTTCTGAAAGCTCCCCACGGCGTCCCAAAGCGCTGCGGGGACGGAACCACTGCTCCCCGGATTCCCATGAAAAAGGGCCCTTTAGGCCTCGGATGTTTGTTGAAGTCACCTGGCGCACTTCAACACTGACGTCCAGGTGTCAACCGAGACTGCGTGTGGCCCGCACTTGGGAAGTTTGATGAGCCCGGGAGATCGCAATCCGCCGGAGTGTGAGAATCTCCTGTTTACCCGCCGTGCGAGGCCGGGCGCAGTAGCAACGCGCGCCACTGGGTGGCGCTGCCCACTCGGCCCGGCGCTTCGGAGGCGTGGGCCGCTGCGCGCACCTGACCTGCCTCCGCCAGGCTGGCCGCGGGGCATGCAGCCGGCCGGGGGCGGGGCTCCGAGGCCGGGTCGCGGTGACGGGCTCCCGGGCTGCCTCCGCCAGCGGGACCCCGCCAGCCCCCCGATGCTGCTTGTGGACGCCGACCGGCCGGAGCCCATGCGCAGCGGGGCTCGCGAGCTTGCGCTCGTCCTGACCCCCGAGCCCGGGGCCGAGGTAGGGGACGGGGATGGAGGTGCAGGAGGCAGGTCTCGGTTGGGGCGGGGGGGAGGGGGGTCTGCGGCCCGCGCGCCCTGGGGGAGAAGTGGACGGGTGCGGGGCCCCCAGCGCGCTGGTACCCCGACCCAAACTCTCGGCTTCGCATCCTCTCTCGCACGCGGCGCAGGAGCTCCCGACAGGAGTAGGGGCGCGAGGGGTCCCCTTTTTTTGCAAAGCGGTGACTCCCTCCCTGGTGCTACCCAGAGATGCGCGGCACGTTGCGCCCGCTTTCTCTTCCAGCCGATCCCCCGCCCACTCTCCGCCCCCCCCCCCCCGCGCCGCCCGCACCCCTTACGCCGACCCCCCCCCCCCCTTGGTACCCACTCGGCTCCCTTCCCCTTAGGCCTCCCAGCTCCGGCCGGGACATCGGACCCAGGCGGCTGGGAGCTGCTGCCCTTTCCTGGGGAGGACGACCCCTGCCAGGCCCGGGGCAGCTCTGCTCGGAGCTGTGCGCCAGGTGCTGGGAGGAGGCGGGCAGGCTGCGGCGGTGCGGGACGCTCCGGCCTCGGTCCTGTCTGTTGCTAGGAGGGAACATACTTCGTCTCTGCCTGTACTTTCTATTTTAAACGCACAGAATAAACAGTAGGTCTAAAACTAGACCCTTCTTCATCGGAAGCCAGTCTGTTGACGGTGCTGTGAAAAAGTTACTTGCCCAAGTTCACCAGGAGTTATTTAGGTCGGCCTAGAAGTTCTACTCCTTCCCTTTTTAAATCTCAAAAGCAGTACAGAAGTATATAAAGGGTGAGCGCCCGCCCCCTTTTCTCTCCCACCCGGACCCTAGATCCCTGAGATCACCACCAGTAAGTTTGGTGTGCACCATCGCACACAGTAATGATGCATTTACAAATGTGGGTCTGCATATACATGGTAATATGTGTTCCTTTTTCTAAATCTCCACTCGATACTGTCCTGCAACTTGCTTTTCTTTACTTGAAACAGCGGACAAATGGGGAGTGACCGCTAATGACATGGGTACAGCGTGATGAAAATGTTCTGCAATTAGTGGTGATGGTTGCACAACTTTAAGAATTTTCCAAAAACCACTGAGTTGCACACTTTTAAAAGGCTGAATTTTATGGTATGCGAATGATCTCTCAAAAAAATATTTTGTTAATCCTCACCCAAGGATATGCTTTCTCCACTGATTTTTAGAGAGAGAGTGGAAGGGAGGGGGAGAAATAGAGAGAGAGAGAAACATTGATGCGAGAGAGACACAGCTGTTGGTTGCCCCCGGCCCACTCCGAGACCAGCATTGTCAACCAAGGTACTTGCCTGACGCTTCAGTCCGCGGGCCAATGCTCTAACCACTGAGAAACCGGCGAGGGCTGATACCTCAATTTTTAAAAACAGCATGTCCAGTAGAAATTGAGTCTGAGCCACAAATGTGCGCCATCCATGTAATTTTAAATGTTCTGGACCCACATAATAAAGGGAAAGGAAACAGGCGTGATTGGTTTCAGTTACTTAAAATAATGGTGTAGCCAGTATATCATTTCAACATGTCATCAATGTAAAAAAAATTTAATGAGATTTTTGCATTTTGAAATCAGGTTTTTAATATTGAACTCACAATACATCTCAGTTGTGACCAGCCCACATTTAAGTATTGCATAGTCATCTGAAGCGGGTAGGGGAGAGTGTAGGTCTGCATGATTCTTTGCCTTCCTAGTATCCCACGTTCAATGACAATTATTCCTATTTCCTGGGCACATACTATGCAGCTGTGTGCCGAACTCCGTTCGTGGATTGTGGCATTGCATCCTGGCAGCGACCCAGTGGCTGGGAGGCGGTTATGCCGATTTTATAGCTGGGAAGACTGAGGCCCTTGCAGAATAAGGGGCGTCTATGGAGGTACTGTAACTTAGGACCCATGCCCCAGGGGTGGGCAGGGAGGTTGTCTGCAGACTTTTACTGGCTTGAGCCACCTGAGTGTCTTTTTGTGCTTTCTCTCCTTGCTCTCAGCGGTGAGATGTCCCTGTGCCCGGTGGCTGAACCTCCGCTTCGTTTGGTCTCTATTAGGGAAAGCTTTCAAGAGGAGCTGCGTGTGCTAACTTCATTTTCTCACTCAGGCTGTCTTTAACTGAGACACGGGTTGGCTCGCAGTCGTTCGTAAGGGCCTTAACGAAGAGCCCAACTCCCGTAGCTCTGTGCGGCAATGAGCCCACTCAGAGCGCTTGCTTGCTGAAGTTTATTCACCAAAAGAAGCAGAAATTACCCGAGTTGAGTCATCTGCAGCCTCTACTTACAGCTAATTCTTCAGCAAGTCCCTGAGCCGGGCTGTTTGCAGGTGGGCAACTGAGTGGGAGAAGGGAGGTCTGGTTTGGGAACTGGCCTGGGCAGCAGGCCCCGCCCCCACTGGCCTTCTCCTGAGTCCACTTTTGGCTTTTAAAGGGAGCAGTGGGAGTTTCAGCCCAGCCCAGCCCAGTCTGAGTGTCCTGCGGTTCCTGGTGAAGTGTACCTGCTTCATGGAACACCTTGAACTCCTACCATATGCCAGACACTGAGGATACCGCAGCGGTGAAACACACAGGGTCCTGCTCTCTTAGGACAGGAAACATGAACACACAAAAGCTGTAAATTGTGATGAAAGCTGTGGGAATGTAACATGGGGTGATGTGATAGCGGGCATCTATCTGTGTGCCTGGGAGGCAAGGGGCGGGGAAGGCCTCTCTGAGAAAGCCAAGACCTGTGGTAACCACGGAGGAATGTGCTGGGAGGAAGGACAGAGGTCCAGGATCTAGGTGGGTGACTGGCCAAGGGACCCTGGGCTTGTCTGGGCGAGATCAGGGAGGGCTTCCACGAGGCAGTGTCATTGTAGGCTGAGCCCTGAAGCATGAGTAGGAGTTGGCTGAGAGGGAGGAGAAAAATATTGCAGGCAGAAGGACCAGAAGGTGCAAAGGCCCTGGGTGGGTGAAGCAGGTGTTGTCGGGACGGAAGAGCAGCAGCAGAAGGGGGCAGTGGCAGGTGTGGCTGGTGAGGAGGCAGGAGCCGGGCCAGCCCTTGGCAATGGCTCACAAGATGCAGGGGCTGCTGAGGGGCCGAGTGCTGAGATTGGTGGAAGGTGAGGGTTTTACTGTTTCCAGTGCCCTTCGGGGTTTCTGTCCAACCAGCTGTTGTGTGTTTTACTGTCTCTCTGTTTCTGGTTTGAGCTTCCTCTTTGGGGGGAAGTTTCAAGGGGGCTCTCCGGAAGCTGCATCAAGGTGGCAGGGAGAGAGGGAGAGGTTTGCTCTTGGGTGCTCTGTCACTTACAAGGGGGAGCTCAGGGCCCTCCCACATGGCTGAGCATGGATACTCCCATGAATTTCTGGTCTTTCAGAATTCCATTGGGCTCCTGCAGTACACAGATGGGTTGATGGCCTAGATCAGTGGTTCTCAACCTTCTAGCCCTTTCATACAGTTCCTCATGTTGTGACTCAACCATAAAATTATTTTCATTGCTACTTCATAACTGTAATGTTGCTACTGTTATGAATCGTAATGTAAATATCTGATATGCAGGATGGTCTTAGGCGACCCCTGTGAAAGGATCGTTTGACCCCAAAGGGGTCGCGACCCACATGTTGAGAACCGCTGGCCTAGATGGAAGGAGATGAAGCCAGCCCTTTCTCACACGCAGGATCTTTGCGGAATGAGCAGAGGATGATGGCGGAGAAAGCACCTGGGTCCTTTAACCACACATGGATTAGATCAGGGATTGATGTAGTTGCTTCAAACCAGAGAGGGCTTTTTAAATGGAGAATTATTATCTTAAGAAAACCCGAGTTTCTTGTTTATTTAAAATAATGAAGAGTCTGGTAATCCTAGGTCCATGTTTCCCAGTTGCAGCCCCCTGTTTGCCACAGTCCCCACTTTTCCCTATTGTCTCCCCATGCTGAAGCTGGTGTCAGTTACCATTTGCCCTGGTGCTTGAACTTGTATTTTTCTGTAGTCGTGATAAGAGGAGAGGGAACTATTTCTCCAAACCACGTGTCTGGACTAAAGTCGGAAACCATGAATTAGCCAAAGATGCCCTTGAGTTGTAAGAAAAACGTAGACGAGGCTGTTTCTGTGTGGAAGCCAAGAATATTTTATTGAGTCCAACCTGCAAACACCGTGCGCCCGTGGGAAGCCCCTCCCCCAGGCGTCCTGTCCTTGTGCCTCGGGGTCCCTTTGGGCATCAGTCTTCACACGGTCAGACTGGAAGGCGGTGGGTGGAGCCGGGCACAGTCTGCTCTGCCTCAAGCTGTAGTTCTGTATGCATTTGTTCCTCGGGTCTTTATGGCAGACCTGCTGTGTGCTGGGCACTGCGCTGGGCTCCTGGGAGAGGCCAGGGAGACAGGTGCGGTGCCTGCCCTCAGGGCTGGCCTAGCAGTCAGATGAGCAGACTAGTAACGATCAGTAACTGAACACCAGGAGACAGCTGAGGGCTGGGATGGAGACGCAGGGAGGACTGGAAGGTGCGACAGGGCACAGGTCCAGAGAGAGGAGGAGCTGCCCGGTGGGAGGACTCGGTGATCCAGGGGGAGTGTGGGCAGGGCCATACCAGGCCTGGGGTGAGGGGGTGGAGACCGGATCCGATTCTGGGGTCATGGATAGACGCCCTGAGCAGGGAGAGCCGTGAGCAGCTTATGGACTGCAGTCTGGGGGTGCTGGAGGAGCAGGGTGGCAGCAGGGAGGCCGCTTCTGTGCCAGTCAGGTGGACATGGACTCAGCTGGCCACACCCCCGAGTAAGAACCTGCAGGAGTGTGAGGAGCCAGGGCACTGTGGGTGCGTGGAGAGGGGCAGCCTCTGTCGGGGGGAGTTCCCCTCTTTCTCCTGCTGTGGAAGGAGCCATCTGGCCCCGAACCCCCTCTTGTCCTAGGGTGGCCGTGCTGCGAGGGAGTCAGCCTGGAGCCGGGGCCAAAGGTGCCCCGTCTGGCTGACCCTCAGCACCCACCAGCCGAGACGCTTTAGAACAGACCAGTTCCCACTCGTTGGA